TACAAATTAATATATATTTTATTAATATATTTTATAAAAAAAATAAAAAATGCAAAAAAATAAATAATTAATATATACATGTATATATATTATTAATATATTTTAATTATTTATTATTTTAATTTATTATAAAATATATATTAATATATAGAAATTTTTAAAATATATTTATAATTTTTAAAGTTTTTTTAATTAAAAAAACGCAATGCGCCGCCCGACCGGCGACCGCAGCTGGTCAAGGTCCGGCCGGCCAGACTTTTCAACCAGGTATGGTCTGGATAGTCCCAGCCGAAAAAGTCCGGCCGGCCGATCCAAGATTGGCCGCGATCGCGGTCGGTTTGACCGGCCGACCGCCGCAATAGTGGTCTTGTTGGAAAGCATTTTTTTGCCGAAATTATTCGGAGGTGTTTTTGAAATTTTTCGAGGCTCGGTTCTGCCGGTAAGTGCTTCTGAAGAGGGGACATCTTGTTTTTTAAAAAAAAAAGAATAAAGGGCAAAATAGACTTTTGGGGGCGGTAAGTAGTAAAATGGGGGCGGTATTTAGCGATTCAGTTTTCATATCCCCATTTTTAATTGGATGCTTATATGTAGATAATTATATTTTTTTTTAATAAATATGCATAATTTTATTCCTAAGTTAAATACTTAAAATATAATAAAAATAAGAATACGAAATTTATTAGTATAAATAATTAAATATGTATTTTGTGAAAGAAAAGTATGATCAAACCCTCCTCAAAACATATGTATGCATTTTCATTTAAGTACTACTCAATTAAGTTATACTGACTTTAACAATATCGGGTATCACCAATTCGGATTCTCTTCTTCTATAAAATGTGTTAGGTTTTATTTTTCACGAATATGCTATAAGTTTTCTTTTTTAATTTATACATTTCGTTATTGATTACGTTTAGGTAGTTCTTGATACTCTCTTCTATGTATGATGATTGATGAGCTTGTTTGTAATTATATATATCCAATGCAATATCTTGCAAAACAAATTAGTCATGTAAATCAAACTATTAAGCTCTATTAAATAATTTTAACTTTGTAGGTGTAAGCTTTTACGCAACATGCGTAGAGTTAATCCACCCACCTAATGGTTGATTAGGTTGTACTATTTCAATAAATATGCATATTTTATTTTTAAATATTATACTTGAAATTAGAATGCATATGTAAGTAGGATTTTACACATATCTATTACTATATAATACGGAGAAGAAAAATTATTTGAACAATCCGAAAATAATCATTTCGTTTTTCCGCTTCAATATAGTGTTTTTCCCGCTTCTTCAATTCTTAAATTTTTTTTTTGAATTTTTTCAACCCATGCAATAAGGTAACCAATCAAATTGAATCTTTTAGCATTCAATTTGGTAAGGTGTTCCGATTTTAGCATTCAAATCCGATTTCACTTCCTTTTTTTATGCCAATCAATCCGATTTTTTGGTTGTTTCAAAATTTGTTTAGATTTATATTTTTATTTTATTAATATATTTGAAAGAGAATCAATAAATGTTTATCATAACTTTTATTTTAAAAATAAATTTGAATAAGCATACCTTTTACTTTATATGAAATTCAAAATTACATATTTAAATATATTAATAAACGTTTATTATTTATTTTTTCCTTATGTGATATAATAGAATTTCGGTATTAAATTTATAAATTTAAACATTTAAAAGAAAAGATTCCAAATAATTTTTTTGGGCATTTTATCTTGATTTTCATTATCACATTTCTAACAAACTAATTAGTATTATATTTTTTTATCTACATTATCTAACCGATTTTTTATGATACAATTAATATAATATCTTAACAAATTAATCATTTGTCTAACCGGATTTATCTCTCTAACAAACTTGCCAATTTTTTTAAAATTAAAATGGTATGATTATTCTTATGGAGATACTTATCAATATATTAAATATTTAGAAACTTTTTTTAAAAAATGAGTTATCTCTCCTTTTACTTTATTTGAAATTCTGAGTTATATTTTTAACTATATTATTATTTATTTTTTTACATGTAAATATTTATTATTTATTATCTAAGTGATAAATATTATTGATTTATCTCTTTAATAAATATTTATTATTTATTTTTTTTCCTTACGTGATATAATGTAAATTTGGTTATTAGATTTTTAAATTCAAACATTTAGGAAAAAACCACGAACAAATTTTTTGGTTACATTTCATTTTATTTTAACTTCCATATAATCACAATCATAACAAACTAATTAGGATAATATTTTTTTACCCATTTTTATATAATCGGATTTCTTAAAATATAATTAATATAACATTTTAACTATTTAATCATTTGTATAACTTGATTTAACTCATTATCAAACTTGCCAATTTTTTTTTGAAATAAAAAAAAAAAATTAGAAAATTTTTATTTGTAAAATAATAAAAAATAGCTTTACTTTAAAGTCTGGATTATTTCCATTATTTTTTGTACGTTAACAATCATATATTTTGGATTATTGATTTAAAAAAATAAATCAAAACCGTAAGGTTTAATAATATTCCTTAAATAAAAAATATTGTATAAAGAAAAGTATTTAATATTATATATTTTTCATTGATTGTATTTATTTTATTTTCATAATAGACGAGATGTGAAAAATATAAATAATTATATTTAAAATAAAGTCTAAAAAATGTTTAAAATATGAACTCTTCCGTGCATCGCACGGGATATACACTAGTTTTTATATTTAAATACCATACTTTAAAATAGAATACATATATAACTAGGAAAGTAACAGTATCTATACTTATATAATAAGAATTAACATTTATCCAAAATAGTAGGTCAAATTATGGTCAATGTCGGATTTGCATTAAATATTTTCCAAAATCGGTAAGTTTTTGTCCTTTTCACACTTCTCATTAATTATGTCATTTTCACACTTCTCATTAATTATGTCATTTTCACACATCTAATTAATTCATTAATTACGACATAATTATCATAAATCATTCCATCTAAGCTTTTATCGTTAAAATATATAGCGATCTGTTATGACCTTATCCATTGATATTTCCATGAAGCGTCCTTATCGCGTTCTATTTTTTGGTAACCACTCTATATCAATAACCGGATATTTGGTTAATGATCTTTATTTCAAGGAGCGGATATTCTTTGACCTTTAATTAATCTGAACTGATTGCCTTGACTTTTCAATTTTTAAAAACTCTTTTTTTAAATATTTCGGCTTAAGATTTGGATTTCATTATACAAGTCATCGGATTGTTTGAATGAAAATGAATGAAAAGAACACCAAAAACAGATAGTCTTATTCATATAACCAATCCTAAAATATTAGTTTGTTCACCAAAAAGAGACAAATCCTAGAAATCCTAAAATATTAGTTTGTTCACTAATCCTAAAATATTAGTTTGTTCACCAAAAATATTAGTTTGATTTTTAGGATTTGTCTCTTTTGAAAATATTAGTTTGTGATAATGAGGAGTTACCAAATAATCAAACTCATAATGTTGTGTACAAGGAGGTTTTTAATAATATATGATTGTTACCGAACTTTTTATGATTCAACAATGTTCCTATGTATTTTAATGATTTCAATTTCGATCCTAATGTATTTTAATGATTTCAATTTCGATCCTAATGCACGTGAGGTTATATTATTCTTTCAAATTTTACATCTCGTGCATCGCACGGGTTACGTACTAGTAAGTATGGAAAGGCATAACTCAATGAAACATTTGTGCAGTTGATGTAAGCTACTGGCAAGATATAAGCTAATAGCTCGAGTAAAAAATTAGTCACTGTACTGTCCCCGGCTGCTCCATCATGTCCATATCCTCCGGTCGAACCCCCTCAGGCGGGTCCAACTTGAAATGATGAACCAAAGGGTAAAAATCGGAAATTGGTCCCCTTCATATCCACATCCTCCAACTGAAATGGCCCACGCGTTCACGCTCACGGTTGCTCCCTTGGGAATGTCGAAGCCCCCGATTTTGTCATTGGTTTTGGCCTTGTTGACAAAGTTCCATGCAAAGCACACCAATGAAGAAAGTTGAAGCCCACAAATAAAGAAGTCTTCAATGGCTACCTCCACCAACCTTCTCTTTTTTCGCACACCATTTGTCAACAATGGTGTGCTTGATTGTATCTATAAATAGGCTGCTTATTTCATTCATTTGAATCATCTTAGAGTGTGATCAATCAACCTTGAGAGTGTTGAAACACAACCAAGTAGAGTTGTGGAGAGTTTGAGAGTTTTTTTAGAGTTTGTAAATCTCTTGTTTTTATTCTTGTGAGTAATAGAAACTTATTTTTCTCTCAATTATGATTGTGATCTTGGGATGATACCATAACAGGAGGGTGGAGCCGGAAGCATTCTTTGGTCACGTGCTGAAGGTAAGGGAGGTTCGGGATGTCGGCTTCAGTCATGACTCGGTCCCGACCTACGACACGGTCAAGCTCGTCTTGCAACTTCTGCTGAACCCTTGGGTTTCGGACCATCTCGGCTAAGGCCCACTCGACCGTGATCATGGTTGTGTCCATGCCGGCAGATATCATGTCCTGTGAAAAAAACGTAACTTTATCTTTTTTTATTTTTTTTTTTTCAATTCATTAAAATTTCGACGAACTACATAGAGAGTCATTATTCATGGTCAAACAAAGTTTCACAAGGGAGGGCCGATTTTCCTATTTATCGCTTCGATTTTAGGAACTTTACAACTTTAATGGATGTTGATAATTTTGTATGTAAGAAAATGTTCAATAATATATGATTTTTTATTTTAATTATATATTTATTCTCATGATCATTGCATTATTATATAATTTATCTACAAAATTATCTTCTAAAAAGCACATAGATAATAAAGTCGTGGTTACTAGAAATTTTGAAATTATTATTGTAAATAAATATTGACTTATGTGTTTAGGTTACATTAATTTAAAATAAAATTATCCTCCATCATGGAAATTGAGACTAGTACATTAATTTGAAATAAGATTATTTTGGAATAGTGTTTGAGTTCCATGTAATTTATCAACTTCATTAAGATGGTAAATAAAAATACTATAATATATATTATTTTTAAAAAGCATGTACAAAACATTTCAAATTATATATACTATTTTTAAAAATACCTAAAGTTCTATATGGTATTTTAAAAAATGTTCAGAACATTTCAAATTATCTATACTATTTTTTTTAAATACCTACAATTTTATATGTTGTTTCAAAAACATCTAAAAAGATATCTAATATTCTAGGCTAATTTTCAATCATTAAAACTAATAATCAGTAAATATATAAAGAAACACACCATATATATAGTAGTATATATACAACAACACATCTAACATTATTACAATCTATATAGAAAATGAGATGTATAAATAAATATTTTGATAAGTTTTGTTTCGTAGCTCTTTTTCTTTTTAATTCATTATTTTGGACCACCGTTGTTTAATTACTAGCTATGTTATATTATAAACTACAATAGAAAACTGCTAGAACTCATACCATGTAATTTCCCTTAGTTCGCGCACAAATGTACCCTTAGTTCCCGCACAAATGTAATAAGTAACACTTAAAACGAGTCCCAGGTGGATTGTCTTCCTGGCTTAGTTGGGATTGTTTTTTGCTTGATTGCACTCGCCTAGTCGCCGAGGGGATCGTCTTTTTGCTTAGTTGCTTTTATAGGAGGAAAATAAATAGTCAATGTTTACTTTTTCGGATTTTGCTTATTTCTTGCTTAGTTGCTTTCACTGGTTTTTATTATTATTTTTTATTTTATTTTTTTGTTATGTCTCCACCAACAAAATAATTAATTAAACAAGATTAAGGAAAGTGATGACAATGTGTTTTGTCCCTATCACTAATCCTGTTTCCCACTAATTATTTGTATTTTATGATCAAGTAAGCATATATATATATATATATATATATATATATATATATATATATATATATATATATATATATATATATATATATATATATATATATATATATATATATATATATATATATATATATATATATATATATATATATATATATATATATATATATATATATATATATATATATATATATATATATATATATATATATATATATATATATATATATATATATATATATATATATATATATATATATATATATATATATATATATATATATATATATATATATATATATATATATATATATATATATATATATATATATATATATATATATATATATATATATATATATATATATATATATATATATATATATATATATATATATATATATATATATATATATATATATATATATATATATATATATATATATATATCATGTTGAATTTAGAATTGTTAAATGAAATGAGACGTTCGTGAGTTCGACTCGATTGTTTAAAACTCGTTAAGTTATGAGTTTGATTCATAAAGGTTCGAAAATAAGAATTTATATGTAATTTTCTATTATTCAATTCATTAATGTTTGAGTTGGTTAATATTAATTAATAAATAAACCGTATAATTAAAGGCTCGAGCTTAAAGGAGGATCATGAAGGAATTTCCATCTTCCTTGACTTAAAATAATGAAATACAAGATGTACATTGCATGTGTTATTTATTATATTATGTACCTAACAACTTAAAGTCATATATAAGCCATAGACTAGTGCCTAAATATATAGTTAATAATGTACTTTCAAATAGTAATGTAAAAACACCCTGTTTTCAGACTTTCCTTTTTATTGGGCTCCTACTTATTTTATATTTTTCTTTGTCCTTCTTTTTTCTTTTTGAAGTTTGGCTTTCTAATATAAGCTATTTGTTAAGATTATGTCCTAGTCATTGATTATGACTACTTTCAATAAAAGAATTACAGTGGGTGAAATTATAAACAAATTCTTAAAACACATGGACCATTCTTACTATCTCTCATTTTTCCTTTTAATGTCTCTTCTGGGATCAGTTTTGATTTGCATTTTTATCTATTATCATATTTGATTAGCCATCTAAAGTTTGAGACTAAATTTTCTAGACGTGTGAGCTTAAGTTTGAGATTTGTATTTTTCGACGATTTATAGCATATTGGAGTAGTTGTGTTGGGTAAAGATCTTAGAGAAATGCTATGGAGTCAATAGAGTCAACCACTAATGTTATAATGTCACGTAGGCCATGGAGTTAATTATTTTTTCACATGGCCTACGTGACACTATAACATTAGTTGTTGGCTCCATAGCATTTCTCAAAGATCTTATACTTTGGGTAGTGTCTTGATGTGGAAGTTATAGTCATCTTTGATTTCAACTGTGGATCGCACTACAAATTACTGAATTTTTTATCATTCCTTAAATTATCATAAGTAAAAATTCACCTATGTTTTGGGCAGGCCCATTAAACCCAATAATACAAACAATTGGGCTAATTTAAAACCAAAATCTAAAGACCGCAAAAACAACCCAAGAAGCCAAAATTGTGCCAATCCATATCCACAATCGGGCGCCGACCTACTCTTATTCCTTCCTTTCTAAAATTGTCAATCTCTCTGCAATATGAACAAGGACTGACAAAACAAACTGATAAAGCGATCCCGCAATTGATCCCAGCATCAAAAGTCGAGATTTTGCATAAAGACGGGTGTCACTCCCTGTGCCCTTAAGTCATGAGGTCCGTGAAAAAAGAAGAAAAACATGGAACAAACAGTTGAACAAAATACATACTCTACTTGAGATTGATGCTTTCCTTTGCCAATCTCATACATGGTCGGGAATTCAAGAGCAATGTCTTATTTAAGTTTCATACCACTGCCTATATGTGTTTGACTTTAATATCATTATTTTTTGTATTTCCATTAGAACCCATATAATTTAGTCATACTAGCATCTCAACTCTCTAGACTCTTGCAATAAATCTATATCTAATAATATAGATATAGATAATTGCTAGCCTTTCATTTAATTTTACCTCATAAATAAATAAAACCTAATAAATAATACAAACTTTCCAAATACAAAAACTGTTACTTTTACAAAATACATCAATTATGGATAGTTACAAAATCTAAGCTAATGACCACTATTTTATCTAAGTATATCAATTTAGGTTAATTAGCTAAAAATATTTACTTTTTTAATTTCTTATATAATCATTACTATGCTAACTTAATTATGAATTATTTATTATAGAAACTCATGATTACATAAGCATAGAAACTCATGATTACATAAACATGTATTTAGAATATATATATATATATCTATATATATATAATAAGAATTACTATTTATCAAAAATAGTAAGCAAAAAAATTTGGCAACATTAATTGCATACTATTTCGTGCAAGTTTTGTTTTTTTTTTTTTAAATGATAAACATTTAAATATGCCTTCAATCACGGATACTTAGTTTTGGTAACCAAATTGTTCAATTTTGTTACAAATAATGCTTTGAAAAATTTAAGTTTTATTTCAATACCAATCATTTTTAAAATTAATTGATACGACATTCATTAATTTGGGCAAAAAAAAAACTTGCAAGTTCATAACCCATAATAATTGTGTGGAATTAATCAAAATCAATAATATCATATAATTAATTGCCAGATTTGTATGTTTTCAGCCGAGTTGAGTTTTAAAAGAAAAAAAATTATTTGGACGCCAAAACATTTTGTGTAACAAAATAAATTTGTCGATAAAAAAAATAACAAATCTACCAACACACACTCAAATTCTAAGAGTTCTTTCACTATTCGTAAACACCCAAAAAATCCGAACACAAAAGTACAAAATCGAACATAAAAACTTTAAAATTAAAAATTTCACATTTCTTTTTCGGGCAAAGCAACTAGAATAGTAGAATTAACAAAATCTACCGGCGCACACTCAAATTCGAAGGATTTTTTTGATTAGTTGTAAAAACCAAAAAAATTGAACATAAAACTACAAAAATTGAAAATAAAAACCCTCAAATTGAACAATCCATATTTTGTTTCGTACAAAACACCTAAAACTAATTTAAAGCATCGATTAAATGAAAACTAAAAAAGAATATGTATTTATAAGACCCTTAGTGTTAGAACGGAAAAGTTGGAAGAATATCGATGAAAAAAGACGAAAAAAGAAACTGGAAGCGGCGAAAAATGAAGGAAGAAATGAAGTCCTTAGTCCGATAATTTCACTATTTATACTATGTTCAGTGTAATCTAAACCGTCGATTTGCGTTGACTAATCTGGATCATTGAATTATTTTTCCTGTTTTGTTATGGCCGATATGAACCTTTTGAAGCCCACATTTTTCAAAAACATTTCTATTTTACAAGTCAAACATGATTAATATAAGTAAATACAGGTATCTTATAATAAGTATTTGTTAGGTTTAATTATAATCAATCATCGGTGCTTTATTATATATTTTGAATTTAAATACAAAATTGTCTTTTAAAAATGACGGAAATAATAAACCCCCGTGCATCGCACGAGTACTGTACTAGTAAACATAAAATTGATAAATGGAAAATAAAATGAGCCATCAATCTAAATTTACAAAATATGAAAA